TGGTTAGCAGCCAAATGCCTTAAGCTATATGCCTCCAGAGACTCCTTCCAAAGAGAATAGGACAGCAAAGAATTGGAATTTGGAATTGTTACTGTTATTCTCATTTCATAGATGAACAAAGGAGCTCAGAAAGTTGAAGGGACTTACCCAAAGTCACATGACAAGCCATGGCAGAGGTGGAACTAGAGTAACCTGTTGGCTCAGCAAACACTGAGTCTCTCTGCTGGGTATTCAGTGACAAATAAGCCACAGCCCTTGCCCTGAAGCATGGTTTGGACTAGAAGCCGGGTCTCCTGACTCCAAAAGGGATTTCTATCTGCCTAAGGGGAAGACACACAGGGAGCTGAGTTTCTTGTTGCTGTGTACATTCTGTTGTTGTCAAATGCTGTCTTGTTAGATCTTCCATTCAAATGCTTGAATTTCCTGCCCTTTCCCACTTTGGACAATAATCACCTATTGGTGGTCACATCAGGCCTAGGTGAGACACAGATGCCAGCCCCACTCTCATCCCCCCATCCCTTCTGGGCTGGAGCTGAGGTAAGTCATTCCCTGCCTGGAGGGGGGTGTTACAGAGCAGAGGTGGGAGGAGTGCCTTATATCCAGTTCCCTGAGGTGGAAGCTTCCAGAAATGGCAGGATGGGGATGTGGGAGCTGAGAAAGGCTAGCACTGTCTGCCACTCACCAGCAGAACTAGTTGGCATTATTTTCTCTCTCAGCTCATAGGTGAACTTGGCAACATGCAACAGAGAATGTGTTGTAGGGAAACACTCCTGTCCAGCTTCTCTGGGCACAGTCATCTTTATTCACAGAATCGCAGGATTTTGTCTTGTGACTACCTTCCACTTAGGAAGGTAGAGTCTACTCTTAGCTATGCCACAAATTTCTTGGGTGACCTTAGGCAAACTATTTCCTCAATGGTAGGATTATGGAGCTAGATTAGATCAGAGGCTTTCAATACTTCCTTGGAGTCCAAAGGTTCCACAGAGGAACCTGGGCTGTCTTCAAGAGAGGACAAATGTGATTTTGCCTGTTTTATAAATAGCTGTTGTTGTTGTTAGGTGCCGTCGAGTCGTTTCCAACTCATAGCGACCCCATGCACAGCAGAACGAAACACTGCCCGATCCCTCACCAGCCCCACAATCCCTGCTATACTTGAGCCCATCATTGCAGCCACCGTGTCAATCCATCTCGTTGAAGGCCTCCCCCTCTTTCGTCGACCCTCCACCCTACCAAGCATGACATCCTTCTCCAGGGAATGGTCCCTTCTTACAACATGACCAAAATAGGTGAGACGAAGTCTGGCCATTCTTGCTTCCAAGGAGCATTCTGGCTGCACTTCCTCCAGGACAGATCTGTTAGTTCTTTTAGCAGTCCACGGTACTTTCAGCATTCTTCGCCATTACCACAACTCAAAAGCATCAATTCTTCTTCGGTCTTCCTTATTCATTGTCCAGCTCTCACATGCATACAAGACGATTGGAAATATCATGGCTTGTGTCAGTTCCATCAATTGTAAAAAGCACTCTGCTTTCTTAAAAATGTAAAAGCCACTAGATTATAAGAAAGGATACCATTTATTGAGCTTTTATTATGTGTCAGGGACGTTTTATCTCAATAGCCTCTCAAAGTAGATGGATTCTCCCCATTTGAAGATGCTCCTCATAATAACAACAGCAACAACAACAATATGCACTTCCATGCATTTATTTACTTAAATCTCTACACACACAAATTTTATAGATGAGGAAACCAAGCCATCAGATGTCTTGAACAAGACCACGTGGCTGGGATTTGAACCTACACAGTGTGGTCTCCTCTTTCTCACACCCTTACCTCGGTCTACTCCATTCAAGAGAGCTCCTTTCCATCCAAGTGGGTTTCATTGATTAAATAGACAGTTTCTGAGCACCTACTATGTAGGTAAGGCACTGAAGATCCGTGTATAATGAAGGCTCAGTCCTTACCCTGTGCAAACTCAATCTTTCTAGCTCTGCATCCTCAGTGAACATCTGAGCCTCATTATCAATGAAATAATAATAACCATAACTCTTAAGCTCTGGTAGCATAGTGCCTAAGGCACTTGACTGCTAACCAGAAGGCTGGCAGTTCAAACCCACCAGCCACTCCACAGAATAAAGATTAGGTAATCTACTTCCATAGCAATCAATACTGCCTCAGAAACCCAAGGAGGGGTCGCTATGAGTCGGTCCCACTTGACAGCACATAACAACAACTAGACTTATGCGGATTAAATTAGATTGTGGACATGAAAAATATTTTGTCAAATTTAAACTCCATACAACTGTTGGTTTGTGCAGTTATCAATCTAGTTAGAGGAAGATGAATGCAAACTAACGCATGGCTACAGTATATGCAGAGTTTGGCTTGGAGCATCATGTGTGATGGGGTGATCAGGCAATACTTCACCGGCCAAGAGGTGATCCCTGATGGAAGATCAAAAAGGAAGGTAAACCAGGGAAAGGAATCCCAGGGCAAAGATGTGCAGGAAGGAAAGCAGAACTATTTGGTGAATAGTTAAGTATCCAGTTGACCAGGTCCAGGGATGCCTGCCATGGTGGGCTCAGGAATGTCTTCTGACCTGGATATTAGTAGAACATACAGCACGTTGGTGCAGTCTAACACCGTCCCATAGATGTAGAATGGAAGCCAATAGGCAATTTCAATTTTCCTGTAGCCACATTAAGAAAAAATTAAAAGAAACAGGTGAAATTAATTTTAATCACATTTTATTAACCCAAAATACTATCATTTCAACTTGCAATATAAAAATTATTAATATAATGATATGCATATATTGATATTAGTAATTACCGATATAGATTATTGAGATATTATAAGAATGACATGGCAAGGATGTCTAACCTCCTCATCTAATTACACAAGGAGAAGCAGAGTCAAGATCAACAGCCTAAGGTTGATTCCTATGAGGCAGAAATCAGACATGACTCTTTCCCCCAACCTTGTTATTAATTCTGACACCTAGCACCCCTCCAATGACACTCTCTACTTCTCTACTGGGTTTGATAATTCATTGCAATGGCCACATAGAACTAATACACAATACTCATGATTGTGGGATTTATTGGGGAAGTAACAGGCTACAGTTCAGGATCAGAAATGACTCAGGATTCAGTTCTTAGGTCAGGACAGCCTCTTCTCAGCAGTGTCCGTGGCATGCCTCTCTCTGGCCCTCAGCTCCTTGACCCTGCAACCTCGTGGCCTCTGCCCTGATCAGGCAAGTGTTACAAAGCTCTTTGAGCTCTGCTGATAGGTACCCAGAGAGGCACCCACCCCACCAGCAAGCCCTCTGCCTTAAGCCACTCACCTTTCTCACTCTGTGGGCGGGAAAGCCCACTGCTCTGTCACACACTGGTCTCTTGGTTCTGCTGCCTCTACTGCCACCATGTCTCTGCAGTCTTTCTGCCAAGTGTTAAGCTCTCTCTTTCTCTCTGCCTCCTGGGTCCAGGAGGTCCAGCATGGGATCTCAGATCCAAGGATACACTCTACTGCTGGTTCATTTTTCTTGATGGTAGTGAGATCCCCCTTTCTGCCTCTAGGATGGCTCATTTTAAGCCTATGGATGGAAAAACCAACCAATCCCCATCTTAGGGTCCCATACATTTTATTTCCATGGTCCCAGCCCCACAAGGGTGCCATGTATTTACATTATCAACAAACTATCCAATCCCCTTGGTAGGCTACCAGCAGCTCACATTTGCATAATCCCACCCAGCTATCTGGTGGAAGTCAGAAAGACCATGGCTAGAAGGGCCATTTTAAGTAATTCACTGTACCACAACTGTGATTTCTGAATCTCAGAATTCATATGTCATTAATTTTGGACAGTTCTCTGCTATTATCTCTTTGAATAGCATCTTCTTGTGTCCACTATCAATTCTCTCTATTCTTCCCTTCTGAAATTCCAGTCAAAACTATTTTAAACATTTTCATTCAATTCTTCATGCCTTTTTACCTCTGTTTTATGTTTTTCATCTCTTTGTCTCCTTATGCTGCATTTTGAGATATTTCTTTGGAACTACTTTCTAGATCAATGTTTTTCAATTGGTCTGTTCAGCTCTATAACCTAGCTCTTAAGCATGTCCTTTTCAATGACTTTATTCTTCATTTCTAGAAATTTTTCTTGATTCTACTTCAAATCTACCTAGTCTCCTTTCAATTCCTTATTGTTTAATCATATTTAATAAATTTCTGGGTATTATATAATTTAAAAAAAATATTCCATTGGGCCTTTATTTGTTCAAATCTTATATGACCTGGATAGTGTATCCCTCTAGAGAAATTCAGAGTTTGCTTTTTTGGTGTGTGTGTGTATGTGTGTGTGTGTGTTCATGCATGTACATGCATGCACACATGTAAAGGAATGGAGAAAATAAAATCTGACACATATTTATACTAAACAGTTATTTCTTGGTTATCTGACATTCAAATATAACTGGACTCCTATATTTTATCAGGCAGTTCTCCTACTTGGTGTGAAGCCCAAATCTCATGTCCTGTCCCCAACTAGTTTTTCAGATTTTACCACCTTACTTACCAAAATTGGCAAACAACAAAACACCAATGTAAAAAACTTGTGAACTTTATGATTTCAGATTCCATTTCTTCTTGGTTTGCATTTTATCTTGGTTTTTGAACCTTGGGGATTGTCCTTACTTTCAAAGGGAATTGTTAGGGTTAGTCTTTTGGAAAACAAAAGGCCAAAAATCTTGCCACATCTGCTTCTTGCATTCCTCATACTTCCCCTGAGGCAACCAGTACACATCTGGCTCTCCTCCTGAATGGAAAAAGGGCGCAATGCAGGGGAACAAAATAAAAATTGATATTTCAACATATGATCCAGCCATGCAAGTAAAGGATTTGAGGAGAATCAGTTATTATGTGAGGTCATTATTGTGCTAACTGAAAAAGACTCTTCTTCTTTGCATTATACTGCAGCAAAAGCATCTTGGCAAGCTCGGCTGAAGCTGAGGGACCCACCCCATGGAGAGATGCCTGGTGGATGCCAATGTCTCCAAGGATGGCTTGGATTTCAACCTCATGAAGGATTACATGATTCTGAATGGCACCCAAAGAATAGCTGTGGCTGTACTGTGTACCCTTCTGGGCCTACTAAGTGCCCTGGAGAATCTAGCCGTGCTCTACCTGATCCTGTCCTCCCACCAGCTCCGTAGGAAGCCCTCCTACCTGTTCATTGGCAGCTTGGCTGGGGCTGACCTCCTGGCCAGTGTGGTCTTTGCCTTCAACTTTATAAATTTCCATGTTTTCCATGGAGTAGATTCCAATGCTGTTTTCCTGCTCAAGATAGGCAGCGTGACCATGACTTTCACAGCCTCTGTGGGCAGCCTGCTGCTCACTGCCATTGATCGCTACCTCTGCCTGCACCACCCACCTGCATACAAAGCTCTCCTCACCCACAGGAGGGCACTGATGACCCTGGGCATCATGTGGGTCCTCTCAGCATTGGTCTCCTACCTACCCTTCATGGGATGGACTTGTTGTCCCAGTCCCTGCTCCGAGCTTTTCCCACTGATCCCCAATAACTATCTGCTGGGTTGGCTTCTGTTCATCTCCTCCCTCTTATCTGGCATCATCTACACCTATGGCCATGTCCTCTGGAAGGCCCATCAGCATGTAGCTAGCTTGGCTGAGCACCAGGGCAGGCAAGTGCCAGGAATGGCCCGGATGAGGCTGGATGTGAGGTTGGCCAGGACCCTGGGGGTGGTGCTGACTGTGCTGCTCATTTGCTGGTTCCCAGTACTGTCCCTCATGGTATATAGCCTGGCCACCAAGTTAAGCAACCAGGTCAAGGAAGTCTTCGCCTTCTGCTCCATGCTGTGCCTTGTCAACTCCATGGTCAACCCTGTCATCTATGCCCTGAGGAGTGGGGAAATCCGCTCTTCTGCCCACCACTGCCTGGCCCGCTGGAAGAAGTACCTGCAAGGCCTTGGGCCTGAGGGAAAAGAAGAGGCCCCAAGGTTTTCAGTCACTGAGACAGAAGCTGATGTGAAAATCACCCAGTGGTCAGATTCCAGAGGTCTGCACAGCTCTGGTTACCGATGAGGCCTCTTTCCCAATTTTAAATGACCCAAGTCAGAAACCATTTCACTCCCTGGAGGACAGATGAGCAGTCCTGACTGCCTCATTTTATCTGAACCACCCCAGGAATCTGGGTACCCCTTTGCACTGATGAGTGTTGGGACTGGCCCCTGGAAGTGTGAGTAGGGCATTCTACTCTTGATTAGCTAGGCCCTACAAGGGGTGGCAGAAGACAAAATGGCCTGTGACAGCCTCAGTCTATGTCAGGTGAGGAACCCCAGAAAGATAGTTTCATGCCTATATCCTCCAGAGAACATAGAGAGACAGAGGAGATCTTCAGGTCCAGCAAGAGGAAATCTGAGAATGGATTATTCTCCTGGGAACTCTGGGTATGCACCAGCCAGCCAGCCAGCCAGCCAGCCCGCCCTTTGTTGCTGCTTAATTGTTGGGATCACCTTGGTCTTGGAGCTGTGAAAGCAAATATGGTAGGCCCTACCTTCAGGCTCCTCTTGTCCTCTAACAACCAAGAAATGGGATTTGATGAGGCTGTTGATCCACCTCTTGCAGAGGAGACTGACATGCTTCCAGCTCCGGACATCTTGTTACCAGGGCAAGGGCCTACCCTCACACTGCCAATCCGTACTCACAATCACTTTGACCTCTTAGGTTCCTAGGGAATACAGTAGAAGTTGTGATTGCTTGGGACACAGAATCTTCAGTTTTTCACTGACCTTGTGAAGTTCTACTAGGTGGAGCCAATGGGAATAGGCAATAGCCCTGTTTAACCAAGCTCCAAAAATAAAGATATTAGCAGATTTTTTTTGTTGTTGTTGTTATGTGCCGGACTCATAGCGACCCCTCCTTGGGTTTCCGAGGCAGTATCACTATGGAAGTACATTGCCCCATCTTCCTTCCAAGGAGTGGCTGGTGAGTTTAAACTGCCAGCCTTCTGGTTAGCAGTCAAGTGTCTTAGGCACTACGCTACCAGAGCTCCTAAGTCCCCAAATTGTTCCCATTGTTTTCTCAGTTCAGTCCCCTTAGCCTCCTTCGAAGCCCTATAACGTATAATAAGCAGACTAAGTGGGAGGAGGAGGACATTCCCTTTCTGTGTGCCAGGCACTGGGATGGCACCCCATCTCAGATATAGTAACAATACAGCCCCATGCTCTTGAAGATCCCAGGGTGCTCATATTTTACATACTAGGGAGACCAAATTCCTACCAAGAGGCTTAAAGCAGTGTGCAAGGTAAATTGCTGGGGTGGGGTGGGGGGAGGTTGGGAATTGCTGAGGAATTCTAATGCAAGTATTTGGGACTACAGATGGAATAAAAGGAAAGATATTGAGTAAATATGTCTTCATTAAATACTTATAGGAGAATGTCTCCACTATTCATTCATTCATCATCCATCTCACAAAAACATACCAGGCTCTCCACTAGGGCCTGGACGTCCAGTCATAAATGAGGCTCTGCCCCTGTCTAATGGGGCTTATATTCTACAGTCAGGTGGGGAGAGAGCCAGTGAAGAGGCATACAAGTAAACAAAGATGTTCACAGATGGTCCAGTGACAGAAATCAACAGACATGTGTGATAGGGATTAACTGGGACATGCAACTTTAGGTAGGGTAGACCTGCTATGTGCTTCAGTCATAAATGATGACTGGCTTTTATTGAGCCTTTACTATGTTCTGGAGCTCCTGTGTGATACAAATGGTTAAGCCAACTGAAAGGATGGAGGTTCGTGTCCACCCAGTGGTGCCTCAGAAGAAAGGCCTGGTGATTATTCCCAAAAAATCAGCCATCGAAAACCCTGTGGAGCAAAACTTAAACCCAAAATATCCTCTCTGGTCTTCTTAAAACCAAACAATACTTTTAGCTAAACTAGTAAAAAACAATATCTGCCTTGAGCATTACGCTATCTACTTGGGATCAAAGTGACAACAGCAATTTCAAAGATTAGATAGGAGCCTGAAGGGGAAAGGAGTTGGGGCAGGAACTCAGAAAAGGAAGAACTCAAGGAATGTAATGTCACTGAACTGTACGTGCACTAGTCGTTGAATTAGTGTATGTTTGCTGTGTATAGTCTCAACAACAATAATAAAATAAATTGTAAAAAGAAAATAACACCCTATGGAGCAAAGTTCTACTCTGACACACATGGGGTCGGTGTGAACAGAGTTGACTTGACAGCAAGTGGTTTGGTTTTACTATGTTCCAGACACTGGGCTGCATGATGATGATGCTATTGACAGCAAGTCAATGTCAGGTGTACTTAGAATTTGAAGCAACTAGTTTGGCTTCTGTGCAGTACAGTCAGTTACTTAATATGGCCCTTCTAGCCATATTTTTTGTAACTCCCAGCAAAGGACTGGGTTGGCCTATGCAAATGTGAGGTGCTTATGGCCCACCAAGAGGACTGAAAAGCATGCTAATAACATAAATAAGGTGCTTGATGCACTTGTGTGGATGGGACTATGCAAAATATATGGAACCCTTAATGAGGGGATTGGTAAATTTTGCCTTCCTGGTAGGCTTAAAATAGAGCCTATTCCAAAGTAGAGGGGGACCTGACTACCAAGAAGAGACGAGAGCACTGTGGGATCAGTTCCATGGTCACAGGGGACATCAAGTTCAATTGGCATAACATACTACACAAAAACAATAGTCTACAATGAGGATCTTAAAAGCTTGCAAGCAGTCATCTAAATGCAACAATTGTTCTCTCTGCATCTGGAGCAAAGAAGAATGAAGAAAAACAAAGACATGTGGACACAATTAGTCCAAGGGACTAGTGGACCATGTGAACCTCAGCCTATATGATCATGAGACCAGAAGAACTAGATGGTGCCTGGCTACCACATCAACCACTCAGAAAGGGATCAATGTAGGAGATCCTGGATAGAGTGGGAGAACAATCTGGAACAAAACTCAAAACCATAAAAAGACCAGGTTTACTGGTCTGATAGAGCCTGATGAGACCCCTGAGACTAATGCCCCTAGCTACCCTTCAGGTCTGGACTTGAACTCACTCCCACGGCTTCCAGCCAAACAAAAGACAAGCATATAAGGTGAACATTTACATCGGGTAGATACACTCCTGAGAACAATCAATCATGGGAGATAGCTCAAGGGGGCAGAAATGCATAGGAAAGGACACAGGGAAGAGATAACCATGGAGAGGAAGTGGAAAGAGAGCTATTACATTGTAGGGAATTGCAGTCAATGTCATGGAACAGAATCTGTGTGAATTGCTTTATGGAAAATGAATTTGCTCTGTAAACTTTCACCCAAATCACAATAAAAATTAAAAAAAAAAAAAAAGAAGAAGAAGAATAAGAAGAGAGGGGACCAGAAGGCGTCCTTTGGACTCAGGGTCCCTGTGCTGGGAACCTCTTGGATCTAGGAAACAAAGTGGTAACACTGGAGATGGTCAGAGATGGTGAGAAGCAGCAGCCGAGAAATGGCAGCAGCAGAAGCAGCAGCTGAACCAAGCGTGAAGCAGCGTGGGGGGCTTCTGGACCACTGAGGGAGACAGCTGTCTGCCTTCAGGCAGGAGGCTTGCTGGCAGAGTAGGGTGCATCCAGGCACTTGGTGGAGCTAGATTTTCTGACTCACAGAGCTAGAGTTGAGCACTTTGGGGCTGAGGCAGAGCGTGGTGCCTCTGGGCACTTAGAGGCAGGACTAAAGAACTTTGTAAATACTTGCCCAAGCAGGGCACAAGCCAAGGGGCAGCAAGGCCAAGAGGCCGAGGGCCAGAGAGAGCCTTCGGGCACTGCTGAGAAGAGGCTGTCCTGATTGAAGAACTGAATCCTGAGTCACTTCTAATCCTGAATTGTAACCTGTTACTTTCCTAATAAGCCCCATAATCATGAGTATTGTCTGTGAGTTCTGTGTAGGCATTGAAATGGTTCAAACCCACCAGCTGCTCCACAGAAGGAAAAGGGGGCAATCTACTTCTGTAAAGATTTACCCCCTCAGAAACCCAAAGAGGGTCGATATGAGTCAAAATCAACTCGGTGGCAGTGAGTTTCGTTTTTTGGGGGGTTGGGGAAAACAGAATAGTAGAGAGTGCTGTGGGAGGGATGGTTGGTGTCAGAATTGGTGAAAGGTTGGAGGGTGGAATCATGTATGGCCTCTACCTGACAGGAATCAGCCTTGGGTTGTTGATGCAGACAATGATTCTCTCTTCCCCTTGTGAAGTTAGAAGAGGTCAGACCTCACCCCTACAGCATTTTTATATATTCTGCTTGACGTTTTTTGTTCTGTTTTTTTTAATGCCTAGAAACAGAAAGAGACTCAAGGTTATTATGGTTTTACACACATTTGATCATAGTCTTAGAGCCTATTGGAACAGTAAACAAGGCTGAGATTCTTAATTTTCGTGTTAAACTTGATCATTAGATATACATCATCATCTGAGATCAACAACCTGATGAAAAAGTTTAGTATCTGGATACCTCCAAGAGGCAACGTCACTTGTTTGAGGTCATACTGTGAAAGCTGGGGTTTCCGACTCAGATCTATTTGACTCCAAAGCCTGCCCTGTTAGCCATTAGCCCGTTAGCCTGGTTGAGTCAAATTCTGTTTGAATACTGCTCCTGCAGAGTACCAGTAGTTCTCAGTGATATCAGGTCATTACAATCTTATTTGTACTGTTATTTCTCAACATACTCCATTTTATGGCCCCAAAGACAAAGTCCACCCTCTGTCATAGCCCATATCACAGACTGTCTTAAGTGGCACTCACTAGTTCATCTTCCCCACGAGATAATGAGTTAGCCGTGTTCGCCTTTGGGTCCTCAGTGCTCATCAAGGACCCAGCACAGAGTCCAAAGGGATCTGGTTGATATCTTAGAACTGAACTGCTTCTGAAAAGCTCATTGTGAACTGCATCTTGGAAAATCAAATTTTATTTGAAAGCAGCTCTTTTTGTAAAGCAAAGAAATGCTGTCATTTTTTAAAGATGGATTTGCATGTTCATATGTTGTGATTCCTTAAAGTTACAGCATGCCTTTCATGGGTGGGTCCTCTCATTTTA